GCCACCCTCCTCACCCAGGTGGTGACCGGCTGGGACCAGCTGCCGCCGCCCCGCCCTGGCAGCTGTCCCCTGGCCTTGGCTGTTTCTCGGCCACAGCACCCCAGGGGAAGCATCTGCAGACAGGCCTGGTCACTGTTTCTTAAACTGCATTTCTTCAAAACCACAACATCGGGCTCTTAAAATGAGCAGGTCTTTAAGAAATGATTTGGCAATTCCTCTCACATATTTTACAAAACATTAACTCATAATGGTAAAATAATTCCCCAAATGCCATAAACAATCACGCAGACCCCTCGTTTCTGCAGTCACAAGCCGGCCACGACGGACGCCAGAGCTCCCTCAGAAGAGGGTGGCGTGTGACTGGGCCCCATCATCTAGGCTCCCATCCACCTGTGAGGTTGCACCGTGCCTGGGAGATTCCGGTCCCCAAACCGGTGGGTTAGTGTTTGCGTTGGTCCAGGCAGCCTCATCTGCATGCTCAGGGAGGTGTGCCCTGCCTGAGCCCTGGCCCAGCGCTTCTCAGATGACCCTCACCGGGTCTCCCCGCTGACCACACAGGAACCCCCCAGGTGTGTTTGCACAGCCCCTCGGGAGGGACAAAGAGTAAGAACCCCCCTCCAACAGCGAGGCAGGAGCCCCATTCAGCTAAAAGGCCAGCTAGCCCCTCGCCCCTCGGCTCATGGCCATCCAAGGCTGAACCAGACCGTGGCCAGGACGGCCACACATGTCCTGGTCGGCTGCTCCAGTCAGCTGGTCTGTCCCTCAGTGAACGGCCCCTCCTCCATCCTCTCAAACCAAACAACCCCCTCCTCCCTCTTAGCACTTAAGGGCATTAAAAGGCGTTGGCTGCCTCTGTCCGTGAAAAGAAAAACAGTGTTCTAGTCTCATCTGGAAGTGACCTCTGGGACGCATTTCTGCAGCTGCTGAGCAGCTTACTCCCACGTGTGGCCCCCGCCCCCACAGACACTGCTCAGCACTTGTGCGTGAGGTGCTGTGCTGGGTTCTGGGGACACAGCAAGCACCCCCAGAGCTCGGGGCAGGTGAGGAACAGAAACGTGGAGACGCTGCAGCCACCAGCCCCGGGGTGCCAAGGGCGGGTGCTGCCCCTCCACGCCGCACCCCTGTGAGGGCAGAGCTGCCGTCGGGTCCGTTTCCAGGACACCAGGGATGCTGGGGGGCTGTGCCCAAGGTCAGCAGCCAGGCAGAGGTGAGGCCAGGCTGCACTGCGGCTGGGCTGTCACATCACGCCGTCACAGGGCTCTGTGGGGTGCACAGCAGGGCAGGTGGCACCCCGCGAGGACCAGGCATAAGGGCGGATGCGTCTGGAGGTCCTGCTCTGGGACGTGCTCTCAGCCTGGAGGCCAAGCCTGGCAATATCCCTCACCCAGGACATCCGCTCAGATTCCCTTCACCACCAGGACAGACATGTGTGGGACCCAAGAGGCAGCCAGCGCCAGCCAGCACCTCCAGGCCCTGCGCCTTCCCGACACCACCCTCCCTGCTGTGTCCTGTCCTCCTGCCCTGCACCCATTTCCTCGTGGGTTTTCGATCCTGCAAACATCGTCCTGCAGGCAGCCATCTGTCCGCTGACTTTTCCATAATGTCCTGAACTAGACGTGCTTCCTTGAGTGGGATTTCTTTTTTCCTTTATGGTTTGTGCTGTGTGGGAGCCTCCCCACAGAGGTCAGGAGATACTGTCCCGCATCCCTGCTCTAGTCAGGCTGCTGTGACAAACACCACAGCAGGTGTGACCTAAACAACAGGCACTTCCTCTCTCGGTCTGGAGGCTGCAATGTCACGGNGGCCGAGCTGGTCCCCTTCCACCTCTCGTTACCGAACAGGGGTACAGATGCCGGGCGCTGGGGTCAGCGGGGCAGGACGATGCGGCACCTTATGGCTGCAGGAACAGGCTGTCCTGTTGAGCTAAGTGAGTCCAGGCGGATGTGAGTGATGGGAGGAGGAGGAACAGCCCACGCTAAGATGCAAGCAGTGAGGGGCCCAGAACCACAACCCCGCACCTCAGCTCCAGGCCGGACATGGGACCCTTCCCTTGGGCACTGGTGGGTGCTGTGGGCCAACGGGGATGGGGTGGATGCCTCGCCCCTCAGGCGCGCTGTGCTGGGGGTCAGCCACCCGCATCTGCGGCCCTGACGCTCGGGGTTTCCTGCCGTGCACCAGAAAGGGTGTCTCCATGGTGCACGCGCAGGAGACGACAAGGCAGGTGTGGGGTCTGCTGAGGAGGGCGTGAAGAGACAAACTACAGGTGGTGATGAGTGGATTATGGGGGACAGGGGCCCATGAACTGCATCCACAGAGCCCACCCCGGCCCGCGCCAGGCGCTGTGCGCTCACGTCACTCAACCTGAGCTCTGCATTCACTCCCTATGAGGGCACAGAAACACCGAGCTCAGGTGGGAGCCAGGCGCAGGTACCAGCCACGGGTGACAAGGCCTGAGCTCTGGGGCCCATGCGCACCAGGGGGTTCATTTCACAAGACCCCGATGTGGGGCCCTCAGGCTACTTGAAAGGAAAAATAAAGTTTTTTGGGCAAAGCATCCCCCCGTCTGCTCACTTGGGGGAACTCGGGTTCAGAGCGTGGGCTTCCGAGTTCCCCGGGGTCGTTTCTACTCTCATTCCGCCCCAAACTTGGAGACACAAGACGGCACCTTGAACGCGCTTTAGGAGTTTAACTGGAAGGGTCCTGTGACTTCTGTGAGCGCTGGCAAGGGAAGCACATTCCAGGGGGAGGAGAGCAGCAGGCAGATCCACGTGGGATCCTGTTGTGTGGGGAAGGGTCTGGCCCGCACGGTCACCGGTCACCGAGGTGGCAGCAGAGGGGAGCTGGGGGCGGCAGAGCCCGGACTGGGGGAGGCTGGTTGGCAGGGTGCACAGGGGTCTGAAGGCACAGCAGGAATAAGAAGACAGGGACAACGGGGGTGGGGGGGCGGGGGGGCCGGGTAAAAGCCTAGAGGCACGACGGTCACCTGTGAATTTCCCACTTACTGGCTGTCTCCCCGCTGCCTGCCCCCCTCCTGTGTATTCCGAGGGCTGTGCAAGGGCGCAGCACACAGCAAGTGCTCAACAAACACGTGAGCAAGAAGTAACGAAAGGAGACGGGAGCACAGCGAGGGTTTGGAGACTCGTGATGGGCAGACAGTGAGGTGGAGGGGAGCCCAACAGCGAGAGCCGAGCCAGGCGGAAGGACCTGGGTCTGAACCAGGAACGGGCTCCCCAAACACCTCCATGGGCCAGCTCAGCCCCTCGGCATCTCTGAACCCAGAGGCCAGAGCCAAGGACGAGGTCCAGCTGGGACGCTGGCCGCATCCGTGTCTGTCTTTTCTGTTTCCTGGGCTGGTGTTTTTTTTAACCCAAAGTGAAGCCAGCAGGAGCTGACTGTGGGCTGGCAGCCTGAGCCCAGGTCAGAGCGGCACCGCCCTCTAGTTTTCCCTCCTCCACACACTTCCTCTGTGGCCATGGGCAGCCCTGGCCTCCGGCTCCAGCCTCGGTTTCCTTCTTTGGTGGGAGATAGAAGCCCACTCCCGCCCCAGACACAAAGGCCTGCCCTGGAGGCCTGGCTCAGGGCCAACCTCAGGAAGGACAGAATCCGTGACTGTCCATCTGAGGGACGGTGGGCCCTCGGACGACATGAGTGACCTCGCTGTGAGATCCCCACGGTGAGTCATTTCCTGTGCCACCCTCTCCGGAAGCCGGGAGCCGCCTGCCCGGTTCCCAGAACACAGCAATGGGGACACAGGCGGGCTGCTGGGCAGATGAATGAGTCTGTGCCCCCCGGAATAGCTCAACTGAACCGGAGGCCAAGCCCTGAAATAACTCGGCTAGGGCAGCCCAGCTGGGGCGGCCTCGTCAGACAGCAGTGGGAGCCAGGGGGGGCCACACCTCGAGGGGTCCGGTCTGGGATGGAGGAGGGTGTGGAGGCCACCAAGTGCCCTGTTCCTCGTGCTGGTGTCTAAGCCCTGGGGGTGAACTGGGGGTCAGCATGGTACATGCTAGGCGCAGTGTGGGGACTTGCAGATACGCTCTGACTGCGTGCCAGCACCTTGGACCCCAAAAATGCTGGGGTAGGCTCAGTGTCTGCCCTCGGGGGCTTCCAGTCGGCATGGGGACTGGTCTTAGACAGTCACGTGACAGTGCAGACCAGAAACAGCTGACTCCTGGAAGGAGGCACTCAGAGACACCACAGGCTCAGATGCACGTGCCCACACCCCAAGCAAGGAAACGCGTGTAAGGGGGACTGAGAGACGCAGGAGCTGACGTGAGCCGAGCCCTGGGGGGTTCCCGGCAGCAGCCGCAGGTGCCGAGGGTCCAGGAGCCAAGAGCAGGCTGTGGCACCCAGGCCCTTCCCTGTGGTCACATTCAAAGGCTTGTGCCTGATTCCGAAAGAAACCCACTGGAGGGCTCACGCGAGAACCTGGAGCACTGCAGGTGCAGACAACAGCCTGGGGGCCGAGGGGGCGCCTGCAGCCAGGCCGGGGGAGGGGGCGGCACCCCAGGTAGCAAGTGATGGAAGGAGGCGCAGCTCCACAGAACTGTGGGTCCCTTGAGACAGCTTTGAGGGAGTAGACAGAGCAAGGCTGAGGGGAAACGGAAGAAAACGACACGCTGTGCGGCAGTTGGTGCTGGCCGGGCGCTCGAGGATGCTGGACACAGCCACAGCGGCCCCAGTCATGCCAGTGCCTTGGGGTCTGTAAGCACTGAACCCCCACCTGCTTTAAAAGTGTCACCAGGCAATGTGGCCGAGGAAGCAGGGCGGCCTGGTCAAAGAGCTGGGGGCCGCCTGCGAGCCCCGCCAGCGAGCATCTGCCTCAGACTGCGCTTCTGTGCTTTTATGTTATCTTTTAAATGAAACGTAGTACCTTTCTGGATTGAAATATTAGAAATGCACCACACAAAAAGCAGCTTTTCTAGGCCTGAGCTTCAAAATCGGACGCGGAACCGACCCACTGAGGTGCTATTTTCCAAAACCAGTTGAGAGATACTTACATCTACTTCTCCTTGATCGATTACATAGAAGTTATCTCCTTCGTCCCCTGTAACGAAACGAAGGATATAATGTGAGTAATGCAAGGATACAGTTGCAGCACTTTTGTTTTTCTTGGAAATAATCTTTGCAACATTGCTGTATAAACCACTGTCAAGCAATACTGGGCCTCGTCTACTTTTCCACACTCTAAATAGAAACTGTTTATGTTTAAGGTGCACACACACCGTGAGGCGAGGCGGGGAGGCCGTCCCGCCAAGCAGCACACCCTCCTCACACACTTGCCCACACTTCGTGTGACGACGGCTCCTCCCCGCCCTCTCGCAGTGCATTTCCAGGGTTCACAGGTCATCAACCTGTATTTACTTGTTAAGCAGACTGTTCTTAGATTTCATTGGTGACTTTTCCCAAAGATAGACAACTAGAGTCTCCTATTAATAATCTTTCCAGCAAATGGCCCAGCTGTTCCCCGTCAGTTTGGGCTCAGAGAAGGGGGATATGAGGAACGTACCTTGCTGTATGACAGTCTCCCCAGCGATGTGAGTGACGGGGAACATGGCATCGAATATGTCACTGGAAAAGAAGACACGGCGAGTGTGGGTGCTGCCGTGGCCCCGGCGACAGGCCCCTCCCTCGCCTCCCATGGGCGAGCCATGCTCACCGGGGATGAGCACGTCCCAGGAAGTTAGAAGGACATAAAGGCCCCTCCTAAGCCCGCTGCCCAGATAGGGCGCCAAGCCCTGGGCACACGGCCTTGCTTACACCGGGACAGGAATCACACACACGCTACTTTGGACTTCACTTAGAAAACAACAAGAGACGGCAGACACTTCTCATGTCAGCACATGTAATTCTCCTGGAACACGCAGTCAGTCCACGCTGTCACTCCTCACGGCGTATCTCCTGCCTTCCCCAGGGAAATACTTTCCTTCAAAGGCGCCTTGAGACCCTAGATGCAGACATGACATTTGAGGTCTTAGCCTCTGCGTCAGAAACCAGAGTGTGACCCGCTCGCTCCACGAGCCACCGAGCCCGGTGCGGCCGGCTCACTGGGCAGTCTGACCACGTCATTTCCTAAATTTATTTGTGAAATGGATCCTACAGGCTGCGAAGGGGAGTGAGGAGACGTGCGTCCCCAAGTCAGCACACGGGAAAGGTGTGTGTACGTCTATGACCCTTTGTCACCGCTGGACTGCAGCCAGGATGCAGTGTCAGGGGTCAGAGCCTGGATCCTGAAATCCAATGATCACCCTCGGAGGCTGCGCCCACCCAGGGCACGCAGTTTCTCAAAAGAGAAGCATGAAGCTAGCAGCAGGTAGGAAATGCGCCCCAAGTTCAGGGTGGCCTGTTCCCTTCCCACCTGGCTAGTTAAAAGGGGTTCTTGAAGCCTCTGGTTATGCTGAACCCCTAGGAAGCAAAGCAAACTCAGAACCAAACAGCCCTGTGCCCCCGTTTCCAGGGCCCAGAAAACATAAATAAGTCACTCTTAAAATAGTAGCTGTCTTCTATTTAAGAAATATTTCTCTCGGGCCAGCCGAGTGGCGCGTTGGTTAGGAGTTGGCACGGGATGCCAGCTCTCGGTTCAGATCCCACATGAGGGCCAGTAACACTGCCCTCTGCAGCTAAGATGGTGAACAACAGCTCGACCTGGAGCTGGGCTGCCGTGAGTCGCCGGCGACAGCGTAGGCTGCAGTGGGCTGCCGTGAGCCATCATGAGTGGCCATCCAGTGGCCAGAGACCGATCTGCCTCACCCAGGAAGAGCGCAATGATAATACCAACATGGGCCAGTGAAGCGACGTCCTCCACAACTAGACTGAAGAACAAAAGGACA